GAGCAACTAAATGGAAATGTGCTACCAGTCAAGAAGATCAAATGCCACATATTTACACTCCAATCTATTTATTTTCTTCCAGATGTTACAACTTTGCCAGTATCTTTTTAATAGGTATTGTTCATTTACTTTACTAAATTTATGATGAACTGCTGAACTCTTTAGCAGGAAGATTGGTTTAATCCAAAGAAAAACCCATCTAGGAAACCATGTAGTTTGTGGAAACATCATTTTGAGCCCTGATGATTTATGATAGACCAGCTTGCATAAATATTAACACTATATCTAACAGGAAATTAAACAAAATTGCGTCTTGTTACTTTTATCTGAATTGACATGCACCCAGAGAAAATTGATAAATAAGCCTTTTAACTAGTACCAAGGAGCTTAACTGTTGATCCTTTCCTGTTAACGTTATGTGAACGCACGTTCTTGACACAATCAACATCACAAAATAAAAGGAGGCAGAAAAGATAGTAATTACCTTAGAAAGATGTAACAGATGATGGAGCACAGACCACAGGAAGGAACTTCGAAAGGCAAAAGCACTTTTGCTTCCTCCATCATAGATGATATAATTAACAGAAATTTTAACACCATTGTGAAACTAGGAATCCTTGACTATAAATACAAGCTCTAAGCGTCATATCTGTTCTTCAGCATCATAGTGTGCGTCTGTGATAGACATTCATAGGAAAAATGGCACTGCCTTAATCACTGTTTTGAGTTGAAGGGCTCTGGCGCTGGCTCTGGGTTTGGCTCTGGCACTGGCTCTGACTCAGACTCTGGGTTTGACTCTGGTTTTGGGCATGGGTTTGGCTCTGGCCTTGGTCCTCACTCTGGCTTTGATTATCACTCTGGTTCTCGCTCTGGCTCTGACTCTGGTTCTGGCTCTTACTCTTCATTACCTTATTTGGAAAAAAAAGTTCTGATTTTAGAAAAGGCAAACATGAACAAATGAAATAGCAAGCTACAGTTGTTAATGCTAACATTCATATCCAGGAAAAATTCTAAAATTTTGACAGCTTCAAAAGGTCATCGAGATTAATCACTAACCATATAGCTATATGCTATTATGATAATGCAAGTTCAAACACAGGTATTTTGGATAATCAGATTTCCTAGTAGTTTCAAACTAATGAAATTACAGTAAGTCAAAATAGTGGATCTTCAGAGAAGTCTCAATGTCCAACTTCCCAGAAAAAGGTAGGCCACGACTATGAGGAAGAGAAGAACAAAATTCTCACCAACAAAACCATCTGACAAGATGCAAAAGCTAACATATTTATGCCAATGGAAACACACTGTAAATGTGAAACAGAGGTGATGAAATTTAGTCTGAAACCAAAATCATGCAATACCCCTTCTTACTTATGGGTAGGAAAACAAGTAAATGAGCATGAACCTTGTAACAGTATTTCTTCCGAAGTTTGATAGCTGTGTGTACACATCTTTTGACACGAATTTTCAGCTGCTTATCATTGAAAATCTGCATCACAATGATGAGGTGTAAACTAGAGAAAATTAGACCAACACATCCTTTCTTTCTTTTCTCCAAAAAAAATATTCTCAATTTCCACACAAATAAAAAGAAGACTCATGCCTTTAGATACCTGTATGGTAGAAGTTCTAGGAGGCCCCAACCAAAAAGAAACAAAAGTCAAAGCGCCAATACAACCTCAAGAATGTCCAAGCTTTAAAAGTTGAAAAGAATACATACAACAAGATGGAAGGAAAGGACATGAAAAGGCTGCAATTAAGTTGGTAATATAGGCTCATCAAGCGGGTTGTACCATAAGTGCATGATCTGTAGATTATTCACAAAACATATGCTATTGCATGACTATATATTTTCAACAGTGAATAACATAAACAATTTTCAGCTACAATAAGAACATATGATTTGGGATAGTTAATTGCAGGCATAGGCCTCTATAAATCCATTCAGAGATCTTAAGTAAAAAATGATGCTTAGCAACTACCTCAGATACAAAGATTAAGCATCTAAAGCTTGACTAAAAACTCTACATCATTTCCAATCTAACCAATCAACCAGACCAGGCCTTAGTTTTCAATTATCAGCTGATAAGGACCAATCAGAAACCTGAAATATCAAATCCATCTTCATCAGCACAGGCTTTTTTTTGTTTATTAAGGATATTTTAAATAGCACTGACTACAACCTAGAGCGTAATCCAGCATTCATCTGCATGGTGATAAACAGTCAACAGACAAAAAAAGAGGGAGAGAGAGAAGAAAAATGATGAAGTCAGAGCAAGTTACTGGATGTCCTCGCAGCAACTATAGATGCCAATAATTAAACTATGTACTAAGAAATGCACCTGCCTTTATCATATCATCAATTGATCGGGTCTCTTTGATGATCTTGTGACGGTTCATAATCAGAATTGCTGCCACACAAAATACAGGTAACTCATCATCCCCTTTTCTAGACGATGAGACTACTGTAGAAACCTGCAGCCGATCATTTCTAGACCACAAACTCCTTGTCAAACCACAGAAGGGATAGCTTGATGCTGATTTAATTCCAGTACTATCAGATGTAATACGCTCTCCATTTCCATTTTTTGATTGTGAGCCAACCTTTAAGCTGCCATTTCCATCTTCTGTGTTTTCATCTCTCAGGTCAGCTGCAGAATCTTTAGGAAGCTGAATAACCAAGGGTTCTAAACAGTTCTCCTCTAAAGTGGTGGCCAGAGATTCATCAAAATCAGCAGCCCATATCATCTGCATAAAGAATGATTTTCTTGGTAAAAATTCAAAGCTAAAAATGAGGTCAGGAGAACATGACCATTAAAACTTAATAAAAAATGCAACGAAGATGAGGTTTCTTGAGTTTGTGCATTGGCATAGTGTCAATACCCAAAATTAAGTACTGTTGTAGTCTATTAGGTCTAGCTGGTTTGTTTATTCAGATTATTAAAAAAATTAGCATAAGGTTATTTGCAATTAGGTTGTTTAGTAAATTATCATCAGCTATAAAAATTATAATTTTAATTGTTTTGTGTCCAAGAAATATGAATGAAATTCTAAGATTCACTTTCTCTGCAGCCTTTTTTTTTTTTTTTGCAAATTCCTCTTCTTTTTCAACAGGGCTTTATTCTGTGTCAACTGAAGTAAGAATGTTCACTTTTGTATCAAGAGTAGCAGGTATGTGTTCCCAGATTTTTGCATGTCGCTGGATTTTCAACTGGAGCAAGAAGTTGCTGTACAAGAGAGCCAATGCCAGCTGTGCCAAAAAAATTGAGGAAGTGTGATGATGTTGCAAACAATGAGCTATGGTTTTGCCCCTCCATCTACCGAAGCTTCACTGTGCAGGAGTCCTCTGGCAATATCCTCCACTGCTAGCTTGTTTCAACCTTGCTTAAAAAGGCTTCACCTGCGGAGACTTCTAACTTCTCATCCTTTTAAGTAATGCCAAACTTAATCTCTCCTTAGAATCAAATCTCCCCACAGAACCATACTAAAGCTATTGATTCTGCACTTACTGGAACCAATAACAATTGAATCAGTTTGCAAACTTAATAGGGAGAAAGTAAGCGGCACATGGATAACATAAGATATACACACCAACCACTTGTGAAGATTCTTCTAACAAAAGTTTGGGCTGAGAATCATACAGAAATGACATTTTTAAAAGGTGATTCTTCTAGGAACCCGCTGGTTTTCCATTACACGAATGTATCCATACCAATTGATCTTTTGATGCATTTGAAATACCACCCCCTTAAACAAATACTTTTCACATCAAATTCAAGTGAGTTGTCAATAATGTGCAAATGGGAGGACTGGAGACTGTTAAACAGACAAGTGAAGAAGTTAGCTATGTCGAGCAATGCATTTTCTTTTCAGTGGTGAACGCGTGAATAGAGGGTATGATTTTTCTAAGGCTATTTGAGTTGGCAAATTCACGCATGAAATGCATAGATATTAGTTAAATTTCACCCATATAAATGTCAAGTTTCTTACTAAAAGAGTTGGCGATGGCGTGGACACTGCCAAGATGGACCGAGTATATCCATTAAGTAACTTATGTTCCACAGAACCCATCAACTGGACTTGACAATATTACTAACCAGCATTGGTTGTTGTCTTCTAAAAGTATTACATCAGGTGCGAGCTTGAGATGGGAGGTACTGGATATGGAAGATTGAGTGGTGGTTCATTCTCAGTATCGGTTAATCTTTTTAATGAATAAAGGATACTAGCTAATGAGTCCATATTTGTGTGGAAAGGAGATGGAGTCACTGCTTGTCGAGGTAAAGAGGAACATCTAAGTAACTCTGTTATGAAGAACCCGGAACTGAAGTGCCCTCCAGTTCTACTTGCAACCATGGGGAAAATAGAGGTGGCTGTTATCAGCTACCAGTATCTATAACCTGTTTAGAGAGATTGAACATCTTATGTATAGCCCCAACCAAGTTGGTCACCTCCAGAAGGTTCTTACAGCCACTTACAAGTAGTTTATTTGCTTATCATGTTGTTTCCCCAGAGCTTCTGTTCCTCACACCAAATGCTCTGTCAAATTCTGGAACAAAGATCCATCATGTTGCTGTTGCCTTTGATGCACGTTCTGGTTATGCTTTTTTTCATGATACTCCTTATTAGTTTATTGTTGCATCCAAACATTTCAATCCAAACAAAATTCGTAGAAGAGGAGGATTCTTGGTATTGCATACAAGAGTGAAATCCAATTCCAGGCAAAAGTGAAATTAGTCCTTGTGTGGGCTGATGAACATCCTCAAGGACAAGGATGCTTTCATTGGGAGAGTAATGTCAGGATCTAAAAATAATAACTGTAAGGGTTTGTTAGGATAGTTGGATTATTCGTTTAGATAACGGAAAATCAACACAAGATTAGATACAATCAGGCTTTTTCATTTTCTCATTAAAGTTTTCTGCAAATTCCTCTTCTTCCTTGAATCCTTTGTCTCTTTATTTCATCTTAAAACAAGATCCTCTTGTGCCTACCAATGACATTGCTAGATCGATCTTGCAATGTCATTAATAGGCTCAAGAGGAGGATTCGGCCCCTCACCCTGTTAAACTTAGATGGAATAAGTGGTAGATCAGGGGCGTATAGGTTGATATCCCCTTGAGATGAAGACATGACTATATTTGGCACTTGACAATCATATTCATGATGGAAGTGGTGTTCAACTACCAATTACCAAAATTTTGCAGAAAAGTCAAAATGCGTCTGTCAACTTTTATAACAAGTAACTTGTTTTGGTATTCAAATAAATAAATAGAGCATAATAATTGTTACCTGACTAAATTATGAGACAACTTTTTCATCCATTAGAAATTATGGACATGATGAAACTATTTTGACATGATTGAACTTAAATGTCCTTGAAAGTTTTGAGCACACCCTCAAAAGCCATGAATGCCATAATTTATAAGGAGATTTTGAGTAAAATCTTAAAAAACTAATAATCATTAAAAGTTTATGCACCCCTTCTCAAAGCCACGCATGCCAAGAGCTTGATTTTGGATCTTCATAAAAAAACCAGAAAGATGAACGTACAAAAAGATTATCACTGTAAAAATTTCTAAATCATGATTACCAAACATCATTTTTCTCAACAGCGCTTCATTGTACAAAGCTGCTCTAGATGTCTTCATAGCATCCTCAAACTCAGCTATATAACCATTTCAGAATATTCTTCAAATCTCACACTACCTAAAGAAATTAACTTACCCACAAAAAAGAATTGCATTACACATCCGATCAGAAATTAAAGTTTCAGCACTTTTTTATAGGTCAACTGTTTAGCATCGGAGTATGAGACTACAACAGCTTGCTATCTCCTGGATGTAATATGATGATGCTGACTTATATGTTGACATTAGTCTAGTGTAAAGGATCCAGTAAGAGAAAGGGTAAGATTTCTAACCTCCCACATCCGGAGGGCATCATTAAAAGACAATTCCCGACGGAAGAGTACCAAGAGCATCCGGAATGCAAAATGGAGGCTTTCAGCACCTATTTGTGACAGGTGAGAAAACATTTCTCTATCTGTCAGTTGCAATATGTGCCATAAAGTTTGTAGTTGCTTCATCACTCCAGTTGGTCCTTCCATTTGAAAATTTGCACGCTGTAGCAATTTGGATAACCATGTATTAGTAAAGAACATAGAGTTTAGGCCACAGCATTCTTCACAAATTACTAAGAGTAGAAAATACCGTTCTCCTAATGAGCATTTCAAAGCACCAAAATGCATCAGCATCATCCTCAAAAAGAACCACAAAAGGAGACAGCAAATCACTCATACCTATACCAAAAAGAGTTACTAGGTAAGAAATAGCTGAAGAATATCTCCAAGATGACTTTGCTAAAAATATAGTAGCAACATAACTCAACAGATCTTCCAAACAAATTATAAGCAGGATCATACCTTGACAATAACCAGTTCCAGGGTCAACCCACGCATAAATGGCAAGGATATCAGACATCCTAGCCAAATTTCTTGTATCCTCATAGAATTCAAGGTGACAATCTGTTCTTACCACATCAACAACTGAGAGAAAAACAATAGTCAGCAAATAAAGAAAACCTATCTAGCAATTATTTGTAAAACCGAATATTGTGTAAAAATGAGCTACATAACAAAAGACTAGTAAGTTACCTATTCGGTGCAAAGTCCAAAGCCATTCCGAAACTCGGTCCTCACTGACAGTCCCACCTTGGGATGCAGCTGTCTTTATAAATGGCGTTTCTGGAGCATCCGATATCCTTAAACCATTAACTATTTCTGTTTTAAAACTGGAACGCAAAAATGTTTCACTGGGATCAGGACAAATCATTTCAATTTCAGAGCCAACCTTAGACATTACATTGTTTGATGGCGATCCACTTGATTCCATAATTAAATCAGCATTGTTATTAATTCGAAAACTATGCATTCTGTCATCCTCAAATCTCATTTTAAGCTGTGCAGAAGGTTTGTAATCACTCATAGCATACTCTTTCTCGTCTTCTTCACTCTTCCCAAACAAATCTGTGACTGGTAAAGGAGGAAAATCAAAATAAGTTTCTGTTGCATACTGTGATCCTTCAACCCCTCCAATGTAAGCAGAGTCGAGTGGACCAGAATTATTTAAGGAAGACTCGTACTCTGCAGGTGAAGTGCAGTCAAGCGGACCAGAATTAGGTACAGAAGAGTCATATGCTGCACTGTCAGGGCTTTCCCTTCCACTAACAAGGTCAGCTGAATCACTAGAACTTTCTCTTTGGTGTGTGTATGAAGTATCTGTACAGTTATTATTCCAATCATGTTTACTATCTAATTTGTTAGTACTACTGGTGGAAGCTTGTCTATTTTCAACTTTGGCTTCCTTTCCCTCCTCTTGTTTGGAGGATGTTCTCATATCCATAACTTTTGAACCCACCACATATGCAAGTAAACCAGTTCCTATGCTCGAATGCATCATTTGGCATTGCTTAAGCAGGTCATTGTAACGTTCCCTGCACACAAATTTCGTAAAGTATTTAATAAACGCAGATTATTTAGATGCATGATTATACGAAGCTCGCCGCATAAAATACATAGAAAATACAAAAAAATATGCTGAATTGATCCCATGGTTGCAACCACAAAACTATCATCTTAAACTAAAAAGCTTGTGTATCAATAGTGTGAACCTATTTCTGATGTAGTTGAAATGGGAATGGTATTACATCATTTGATAGAGATGTAAAGGCTGCGTAAATAGGTTGTAGCCCTTTGGTACTGATCTTTTAATACAACTTCTTTTATTTCAAAGAAAAAAATCAATAGTGTGAACCAGGATGCAATCCCAACTTTCTAAAAGAAACCCCCCCTCAACCCCCAAAGGAAATAATTATCTATAGAATTATTTCTAATGAGAAGAAAGAATAAGCATTGCTGTAAGTGATTTTTTTTTTTGAAATAATTGCTGTAACTGATGTTACACCAACTTCTAGCCTTCTGTTACTTTCATGATTAACTTTGTTCTTAATTTAAAGATTTAATAAAGCTGTCATGTGGTTTCATCAAATGTAATTCCATTTGTAGATCAATTATTAAATTCAATGTAGAAGAAAAAATCACAACTACCAAATTGTCAGTGGAAGAAAGAATAGTAGTCTGCAAAAACAAAATAAAAAATAAATAAGACTACTTGTAAACCCCTTACAAAGTAGTTTATAGTATATCCCCCATTTTCAAGTTATTAAAAGATGATAACGAGAAACAAAAAAAAAAAACCAAAACAAAACAAAAAAACAGTGAGCAAATCATAAGTAATATTTATAATCAAAATGTTCACATATACCTGCAGTTCCCCATGCAGGCAATAACAAAAGACCAAAATAACCAAAAAATAATGATCTGGATGTTGAACCGATTCAACAATCAAGAAACCCATTAGCTTGAAATATTTTGCATGCCTAAATATCAAATATGATTAGACATGGACATATTAAACAAACAACATTTAGTTAATTCAATTTGTAAACACTGCTTCCAAAGAAATAAGCATTAAAAGAAAATCATCTGCAAGAATGAAAAAGGGCCTAGACCTCCTGGCTGTCCTAAGCTGTTTCCGATACTCTGCAGTACTGCTCAAGCCATAACATCCAAGAAGAAATTCCCAAACTTCCGGCCTTATAGATGGATGCACACCCTGAAATCCAGCAGAGAGCGTGCATTAGAGTTAAAGTCATGGTTCTTGATCAGACCACCTTAGAGGTAAAAAGGACATATATGTGGAAGCACTATCAGACCACCTTAGAAGTAAAAAGGACATATATGTGGAAGCACTATCAGACCACCTTAGAAGTAAAAAGGACGTACATGTGGAAGCATTATTACAGTTTTCTTTTCTCTTGCTCTTCCTTTTTTTTTTCTTTTTGGCAGGGTATACGGAGGTGGGGAGGGGAATGAGACAATTACGAGGGGTATATATTACTTCAGGTCAATCGTCATATACCATCTATGATAATCCACCTTCCCTCCTCCCTTCCCGTTATGGTTATCAAATGGTAAAACAATAAAAAGCTTCCAAGAATAACAGTAATAGCATGTTGCTATTTAGTTTCCAAATATAAAACAGATCCAGCTATGGTATTATCTGGCAAAATCAGCCTGAGGGTGGGGGAAAAGAGTAAATGTGAAAGAAATTACACAAAAATAAAAGATGAGCTGTTATGAGGATCCAGATACTGAGATATGAATGTAAGTACGAAAATCCGAAAGGCCATTTGATAGGAGACAACACTGGGCATTAACATGGTTTGAGCGTAAGGATATATTTGTCTCAACATAAAGAATTCCTAAACAACGTACTTCCTAAGTGTATAACTTATTCTTCACTGTAATTGCATTAACAAGTAAAAAGACCATCTAAGGAAAGAGACAATAAACAAAATGCTATCAATAAAGAAATGCTGAGCAAAAATTAAGAAAAGTTTACGACAACGAAGCAGCGTACCCCCAAACCAATCAATTTGAGCACTTTCTGGAAACCAGAAACCTTCCCCTCACTATCAAAACTTGCCTGCCACTTTTCTGGCTTAAGCATTTTGTTTACCTACAACATCAGTAATAACAGGGTATTAAACTATGTCTTTTATGAAATTTGGCAAATTTAATACTTAAACTACATTCCCAAGAAGAAGTAACTAGTTAAAATAACATCTGACAATGCTAATGAATTATTGCAAAACCAACTTGGACAAGTAGCATGCCTTGCATGGCTTAAGTTTTCAAAAAAAAAAAAACCAGCAGCACTAGTATACAGCATAACAATTATGAGAATTAGGAATATTATCTGAAAACATGAATTCATACATGATAAGTTGGCAAGTACATTACAAATGTTTTTCTAGGACAAACAAGTTCAAGCAAAATGGATGCCGTGTCCCTAAAAAAAAAACCATAACTACAGATGATCTAAATATTCACCATGCAATGATGAAATGCAGATTTTTTTAAGGAGAGCACTGCAGACATTCCATAGGAGTCTCTATAAAATTCCCGTTATATACTCTAACATATCCTCTGTCCACCTTCGTCAAGCCTTATCTCTTGGAAACAACATGTTACCTTCTGCAGTGCACCAATATTCACAACATCCTGACAAGAGAGAGAAAGAGAACAGGTTGCCAAGACTTGGCGCTGATAAATTTATCATCATCCAGCCCATCTTTCAGTACGTAGGGAATCCAGTATTTTATCCAAAAAAAAAAACCAACGCCTGACACAGTAAACAAGACTGTAGTATGCAGTAAGTTACTAAAAGAAGAGCATCCAAAAGAAGAAAAGGGAACACCAAACTATACATAAAAAGGGGAAAATCCTTAGATTATGCAGAAAGTCGATATTGGTAAAATAAAAAGAAGCCATCGAGTCTAGCGCATCATCCATAACCGTATAAGAGCACTGCATGCCAAAATGATCTCAAGTTTAGTGTAAGAGTAATATTTATACCATTTTAATGGATCTTCCTTTATTTTTATGAAGATATATTATCCTAGTAGAGGAGACCAACTCTAGCACCCAGGGACAAATCTCAAAATGTTGAAGGATGGCCCTAATGCAGGAGCGTCGAAGAGTTGAAAGAGCTATTTTCTTGCTTCAAGAATTGTTCAATACTTCCACTTTTAGACATTTCAATATCTTTCCTTTTTATTTTCACTTAAGGACAAAAGAACTAATTTTCATTCTAGGGAATGTGTAGTAGTTAAGGACTATCTAATATCATTTTCAGATTCAATGAATAATGAAAAGAATCAACAATTCAGTAAACATTTTACACCAAAATGGAAAAATAACCCTCCACTCCGCCTCCAATAATAGCAATTTTGGGGGTTTATTCCTTTTTCGCATAATAACATAAATTCCACTCATGAGGTTGTGTTGAAATGTATTTCCGACATTATTTTTTGGAAGCTAAAGCCGATACCATGAAGAAGTCATAACTAATGTGCCTCAACATAGAGGTCTAAGTGCCCCAACATAGACATAAAAGAGAAATATGATATTATGCTAGAAAATATAAGAATCGATGGTGAGAAGATCTCCTTCAATAGTTTCCATGCTTACTTATAGTTTAGTTAAAATAAAACTCAATGTGTAATGCACCAAGAGCATGGGACAAGGTGAAAAAATATACTATAATGTAATAGCAGTATGGTATTCTTCACAAAAGTAGAATGGGGTAAAATACACTAGTAAATGGATATATGTTATACATTCTGAAGATCAATTTTTTTTTATTACCATGCAGCATTTTCACAGAGCAGCAAACATTCCTAGTGAGCATTAGTTATGTTACAAACACTTCCATGCCTTTACTTCCAATTGTGTTCCTATTCCTTCCGTAAAAATTGTGGCAACCTTTTTATCAAAGAAAGCACTTTATAAATAAGAGTAATTGCATCCGTCTGACATTCAATTTTTGTCTGATAGGGCATGTAATATTATCTAATAATAATCAAGTAAGAGATATTCGATATTATTGAGGACAACTTTTGAGCTATATCTGTGCAACATAGATAGAATAAAAAGAAAAAGTAAATGAGGGAGTCTTATAGCTATTGCAACCTTTATAGGCGATTGAGAAAGACAAGGCTCGCCAATATCGCGTACTATAGAACTCACTTTTTGCAAATTCACTGCCCCAGGTTTTCCACAAGTCCATTGCTTCCCCTCTCCCCCACAAGACATCAGACTTGACACCCTCCCCACCTGCCAAAATTTACCTCAAAACACCCTCTTCTGCTTAATTCTCCACCAACTCTCACCTTCTCAGCCTCTAATATCTTATCCCGATATGAAACCAACTTCAGAAATCTAACAACTGCAAATAAAAAAGTTACATGTCATACACTATCAACGCCTCCATAACCAGAGCTTTTGGTTTCTCAAGAAATACAAAAAGCAAATATCCACCAAAATAAAATAAAACTCTGATCTTACAATTTTAAACAGTTATCAATAAATCATACAATTTAACACAATCAATAAACTCAATCGTTAAAACCAATACATTGGAATCCTACCAAAAATTTAAACTTCAAAACACCAGAAGAAAAAAATAGAGAGAGAGAGAGAGAGACAGAGACAGAGAGACTTGGTCTCGTTCTCGAGGTGGAGCAAAACCAAGCAAATGCAGACGAAAACAGACGACCGTGAAGAACA